ATCATCAGGACAAAAAAATCAGCAAGGAGATCCGGAACCTCAATGTGACTTTGGACCAAATGGACTTAATTGATACCTACAGAACACTCCATCCAAAGACCACAGAATATACATTCTACTCATCACCGCATGGAATGTATTCTAAGATCAACCACGTAATTGGCCAAAAATCAAGCATAAGCAAGTTTAAAAGGACCGAAATTCTACCATGCACCTTCTCGGACCACAGTGGAATAAAAATAAACATTGACACCAACAAAATCCCCCCAAAACCCACAAAGACATGGACACTAAACAGCATGATGATAAACAACTCCTGGGCCAATGATGAAATCAAAACAGAGATCAAGAGATACCTGGAAGCAAAAACGAAGAAAAATCTTGCCAAAATCTCTGGGACTCCTTGAAAGCTGTAGTAAGAGGGGAATTTATATCCCTACAAACACACATGAAGAAAATGGAAGGAACACAAATTCACAACCTAACAAGCCACCTAAAGAAGCTGGAGAAGCAAGACCACAAAAACCCTAATTTTCAGCAGAAGAATTCAGATCACCAAAATAAAAGCCCAAATCGAGAACACAGAAGACAAAAAGATAATAGAAAACATCAATGAAACAAAAAGCTGGTTCTTCGAAAGGATAAACAAGTTCGATGGTCCCCTAACTAGACTGACCAAGAAAAAACAAGAAAAAAGCCAAATAAGCATAATCAGAAACACAAAAGATGAAGTCACATCTGACCCTGAAGAAATACAAAATATCACTAGAGACTACTACATACACTTGTATGGAAGCAAACTTGAAAACCTTAAGGAAATGGAGGACTTTCTGACATCACACAAACTACCTAGGTTGGAACAAGAAGAAATTGAGACCCTAAATAGACCAATAACAATCAAGGAAATCGACTATGTGATAAGAAAACTTCCTACAAAAAAAAGCCCTGGTCCAGATGGCTTTCCAGCAGAATTCTACAAGACATTTAAGGAGGAGCTGATACCAATCCTACTGAAGGTATTCCAGGTGATTGAAAAAGATGGAACTCTCCCCAAATCATTTTATGAAGCCAACATCACATTGATACCCAAGCCAGGTAAAGATCCAACAAAGAAAGAGAACTACAGGCCAATATCTTTGATGAACATAGATGCTAAAATTCTCTACAAGATCCTAGCAAACCGAATTCAGCAATACATCTCAAAAATCATCCATCGTTACCAAGTAGGCTTCATTCCTGGGATGCGAGACTGGTTCAACATTCATAAAACCATAAATGTAATTAAATACATCAACAGATGTCAAAACAAAAACCACATGATTATATCTTAGATGCAGAAAAAGTTTTTGATAAAATCCAGCACCCCTTCTTGATAAAAATCCTCAAACATCTAGGCATACAGGAACATACCTCAAAATAGTACAGCCATCTACGAGAACCCACAGCCAGCATACTCTAAATG